ACTACAGCAAGGTCAGACTACACCAAGGTCAGACTACACCAAGGTCAAACTAAACCAAGGTCAGACTACACCAAGGTCAAATACAGAGCCACTCTGATCCAGATAAAATAAAAAGGTAAAGTCTGAACTCTTTGGAAAAACTAAATTAATTTATTAGTCAATAATTTTGTATAATTTAATAGTTTAAGGGTGTGATGGACTTGTGACCTGTCCAGGGTTTAGCCCGTCCCTCGCACAGTGACTGCTGGACGTGGGCACCAGTGAAAGAAGCAGGTAAAGATGATGGATGGGTGGTGGTGGGGGGGGGGGGGGGGGGGATGGATGGGTGGGTGGTGTTTATATTTAGTTATTCCAGGACTGACTCAATGATGTTCGACTAAATAAACCAAGATTATAATTTGGTGTGAGGATTAGAACGTTTAAAGGAGGCATAAAGGTCAAAGCTCCAACGTCCATGTCTGAGACTATTTAAAATAATAATCTGAGCTATGAAAGGACCAGACTCTTAATCTGAAGAGTAACTGAGGTTATTTTGAAACTCCACGTTAAAACCTCTGATTTTTATGACTTTAAATATCAGTTTCTGTCCTTCAAAACATATTATTTAAACTAAATTAATAACTAGAGATAAAAGAGTTGTACATGTGGGGCCTGACATGATGAAAAAATATATATCAACAAAAGTCTGCTGTGTACAGAAGACCAGGATCTGCTGAGTCACTGGTAGCCATGGTGATTCCCGCCTTTTTTTAGGAGAAGCAAAAAGAGGGAGGGGCTTCAATCAGCAGATTTAAACAGTGGCAGAACTGGATCTACAGAACTGGATCTACAGAATTTGATCTACAGAACTGGATCTACAGAACTGGATCTACAGAATTTGATCTACAGAACTGGATCTACAGAACTGGACCTACAGAACTGGGTCTATAGAATTGGATCTACAGAACTGGGTCTATAGAATCGGATCTACAGAACCGGATCTACATTTGTTTACCTTTGGATGTTTGCTTGCACCTGTGGATGATTTTTCCTACGGTGTAAAGGACTGAACGCATGTCGGAGAGAAGAGAAGCGAACCTTCGGTCAGAGCAGCACCGTGTCGAAGGTTAAAGGGACAAAGACTGGGAGTTACTGTAAAGTGTAATGGGAAGGGATAATCCCAGGGATTAATTCTGGACATTCTGCTCCGTAGGATTTAGTGAAAAAGTTTTTAAACTTTCATTGTGAAGGAGAACATTTCTAACAGCCTTCAATTCAAAAGTTATTTAAATGCAGTTACTTTTCCTCAGTTTATATTTTGACGTGCAGAACCGACAGACGTGGAACTTTTGAAAAACTTTGGGTTTATACTCGTTTACAAAGTCCAGTGTTACCGGCACACATTGTGTCGTGGCACATGGCTACAGAACGAATTATAAGGTTTTGTGCAAACGTTGAGACAATTTACCCGAGAACTGATCCGACATTAGAGCGGCTGCACGATTAAAGGTTTAAAAGTAGAAACCACTGAGGTCACTAACAGGTCGGACTTTAAATAAGCTCCTGAAATGAAGAGAAACGCTCGTGATGCCTTCAGGTTCTTGAAAGAAAGCACCTGAAAATGGTTCCCACGGTTACACCAACTCAAAACGTCAAAGGTTAGTTAAATTAACTCTAATGTGGTTTCTGAGTTTGGAACATCTGAAGGAGGGACTGGATTCTGAGGAAGGTTTCCCCAGATGTCTTCTGTCTGCAGAACGAAACAAGGAAACGTCTAACGAGAGTCCAGAGCAAATTCAGACTTTCCTTTGATGATTAAAGTCTTCGGAATCAAAATATTTCCTGTCCGCTCTGCTCGGTACCGGTCCGTACCTGTCACCTGCGGGACGTAGGGGATGGAGAGGCGCTCTGCGTTGTAGCCCGGTCCGGCCAGACACTCGGCCATCTCAGCAGTCTGGAAGAACAGCTGCCGGTCGTCTTTGTCCAGAGATTCAGGGAGACTGAGAACATCCAGACAGACCGTCAGATGAACACGTTCGGATCACTCCCGGCTACTGCCACACCGGGTTTTAGCTTAATATCTAACAAAGTGAGTTAAAGTGTTGCTGTGATTGCTAAGGGACGTGGCAGCCATCTTGAACTGAAGTGGCTAACGTCTTCATCTGTAGATGAACGTGCAGAAATAACTGTTTCATTAAAATCATCCAGTGGCTCGAAGATGAACTTTGAACTCTGACGCTGAAACGAGCTGCACAGCAGAAACTTACGGACACTTATCTCTGAAGATATGTTCTGGCAGAAGGTACGGCGCGTCCATGTTCCTCAACTCGATGACCTGAGGAACGTCAGAATGAACAAAATTAGAACTGAGTGCAGATGTAAAGAAGAGGAGAACCTTCAGGACCATCAGAAATAAACCGGAGCATCATCAGCATCGAGGAGAAGCAGGAACTTTAGACGAGCTGAACATCTGATGGATTAGAGCGTGCGTCAGGATGAACATGGCCCCACAGGAGGTCCAGGACTCACTTTACTGACGTGTTGACACAAAGGCGGGTTGGCGATCATCTGACTCAGGAAGTTGAGGTACGCCGCCACGAGCGCCATGATGCCGCAGCGATTGAACATGGGCAGGTTCTCCTCGTTGACCAGAGCCATTTCCTGTTGGAACAGAAATGTCTTCATGGGATTATGATTTAAAGCTGAGCTTCGTCAGTGTCATTAAACTCCACCCGGCTGCTGCAGCTGCTTCGTCAGTG